TTTTCCTCTTGTGTTGATTTTAGATTTTTCACATTTCCTGGGGCTAGCAGATGGTGTAGCGTTTACGTCCCTGGACTCCCACATGGCTGACCACGGTTCGAGTCCTGGACCTGGTGGCTTGAAACACACTGAGTGCATGCACATGCATGTCCAAAACTGGAAGGAGAATGAAGGAAAAGAGATTGTGGTCTTGCTATCTCCCCTAGTGGTGTTGATTTCTCACTTTCCCTCTTGCTGTCTCTGTGTGTCTCTTTGGCCGGAGCATACGTGCTCTCAGGCAAAAACCTCTACAAAAAAGAAGAGAAAGTTTTTTTATATTTTCTTTAGCACTCTGCAGTTTCACCACTGTGTGTCTAGATTCTGCTACAGACTTTATTCTAAAGACTTCTTTCATCTGTTCTAGAAAATTCTTTGTCATTGTCTCTGAATATTGTCCTCCTTGCTAGAGTTTAATTGCACATATGTTGCAATAAATATCTTAGTTTTCTTTTCCATGTCTTCTGTTTATTTTCATATTTTTCGTCCCTTACCTCCTTGTGTTGCTTTACTGAATAAATTCTTATTTTTTATCTCATTCTTTAATAAGCTGTTATCTAATCTTTTGTTTAACTTATTCTTTGAATTTCTATTTCACTGAATATATTTCAGGTGTTCTATTTTTTCTCCCTTTTTTCTTTTTCAGATCTATCAGGTCTTTTTCTCCCATCTCAGGATTTTTGCATATTTACATTGCTATGGTTTATGGCTTGTTCCCCAAAGATTTATTTTTTTGGAATTTGGTCTCTAGTCTAATGGCACTGGGAGTTAGTAAGACCTTTGCTGATGGAATCAGTTCTCATTCTCCTTGAGAAAGCGTTAGTTCCTGTGAGTGGGTTGTTCTAAAAGGAAGAGGGCTGCTCCCAGGTCTTTCTTTTTACTTATATCTGCTATCCTGTTACTTTTGTTGGCCATTTGTGGTATAGCACCAGAGCCCTACTTAATGCTGGCTCACACCTTAGGACTTAGCTTCCCAGCCACCAGAAGCTAAACCAAATGAGCTCTATTCTTTTTTTTTTTTTTTTTTTTGAGAGGTTTTTGCTATAGGGCGCTTGCACTCGCCAGACAGAGAGAGACAGAAAGCGAGAAATCACCCCCCCCCGGGGGGGATGGCCACGCCGCAATCCCTTCTCCTCCATTCTCCTCTCAGGATCTTGAGCACGCATGCACACGTGCCTGGCGTGAGTTTTAAGCTACCGGGTCCAGGATGCGAACCGTGGTCGACTACGTGGGAGTCCAGCGACATAGCCATTACGCTAACTGCTGGTCCCATGAGCTCTGTTCTTTAGAAATCACCCAGTCTCAGGTGTTTCAGTTAGTAGCACAATAATAGACTAAGACACAGTGCCTTATGGCCTTTATTCAGATGTTTCCTTTTTAAGAGTCAGATTTATGATATGCATTGCTAGTTGTTAAATGTAAATGCTAGGCTAAGGAGTAAGGATTTTGTCCTTATTGATAGGAATCAATTAATATTGGTTGTTAATTCCTAAATGGGAATTCTTACATGTTGATCCCTAGATGATGTGACAAGAACTATGTTTTAGGTAAGCCTGCAGCAGGGGAGAGTTTTTGGAACATATGTAATGTTTAAGCCTATGACAGAAACTTTAAAGGAGTATATTAAATTATTACACATCTCTAGTGAAAACATTTCAAGATGGAAATATAGTAGATAATACTTTCAAATACGTAGCTATTTCAGTAATTGTTGGCAAGCTGAGGGTTTTTTCTTTCACAGACAATAGTAAATGTAATTGCCTTTGTTTTCATTTATGTATTTATTTAAAATTTTCAGAGGGTATATAGATTTACCAAAGCAAGAGAAAACCCCCTGGTGTAGCATGATCAAGCTGCAATCCTTTTTCCTCCATTTCTCCTTCCTATGAGTATTTTGGGTACACATGCGCATGTGCCCAGTGTGTTTTTCAAGCTACCAGGGCCAGGATTCAAATCATGGTTGGCTACTTGAGATCTGATTCCAAATGCACAGCACTTAATCGCTGCACTTAACCAAGCCAGCCCTTAATTTTCCTTAAAAAAATTTTTTTTAAGAAAGCTAATTCTGAGCCATTCCCTTAGACTGCTGGTTAAGGGAACCACATCTCACATGACTGATTATGGTTTGGATCCTAACCCTGGTCAGCTTAAAAATTATGCTGGGTGTGTGTGCATGTGTGCTCCAAATCCCAATAGGGTGGAGAAATTGAAGAGAAAGAATTACTTCATAACTATGCCCCATTGGAGAATGCTTTTTCCTGCTTTATTTCTCTGATGAGTGCCATATTTTCTAGCACTAAAAAACAAAAATGAAAGTTAATTCCATGTGCTATGCTAGTCATTTGCACTTAGAAATAGAGTTTAACCAAATTTGGTTATCTTAAATTTTAATAATGAATTTCAGTTTCAGTGAGTGTTTTAATTTGACAGTCACTAAACTCCTATACTGGCATTTACCATATTCTCCTTTTTTTGTTGTTTATTAATTTTTTTGAGAGATTTTTCGCTATAGGGCATGTGCATTCGCCAGAAAGACAGAGAGACAGACAGAAAGCAAAAAATCACCCCTCAGGGGGGATGGCCATGCCACAGTCCCTTCTCCTCCATTCTCCTCTCGGGATCGTGGACACGCATGCGTCACCAAGTCCAGGACTCGAACCACGGTCGACTACATGGGAGTCCTGCAACATAGCTATTATGCCTACTGCTGGTTCCGCCATATTCTGCTTTGAATAAGAACTGTTTCATTGCCTTATCTCCTCCAGTGGCTCCTTAGCTGTTTAAGGGTTCCAGTTCTTTCTCCGTGATCCTTACAGTTTCTTGGGTTTTGTTTTCAAGTTTATGTATTTAATTAACAAAAGAGAGAGAAAGGCAGGTAGAAACAGTACCTTCGACAGAGTCTCTTTGTAGAGATCTACCCTAGTTTCAACCATCCTTGACCCAGAGTCCTCAGGGAGGTCCCTGGACATGAACTGGGAATCCTCTCCATGTGGGTTAGGCTCTCAGTATGGTGTGTTTTACCACTGTGTCATCATCTCACTCCCTCCTTACAGAGTTTTGCACACAGTCTTTAGTAAATGTTTATAAGTTGAATCAGAATAATTTATATTAATCAGTAGATATTAAGAGTTAATAAGTGGATGGAAAAGGAAATATGCTTTTTTCCCCTCTAATGTATGCTCTTTCATCTGCCTAACCTGTAATTTCCATTACCTCTAGGTTTTTGGTTTTTACTTTTAGTGTTCACTTAAATACATATCCTGTAGCCTTAAATGAAAAAGGCTTTGTATATTGCTTTAATCATAGCCTGATTTGTATATTTTTTTTTACAGTTTATGTATCGTAACACTAAGATATATCATAGGGAGTTGATTAAAGTGAAATTTTACCTACAACTTTATTTTTTTTTAAAGTAATTATTTAACTAACTTTATTTATTTATTTTATAATTTGACCAGAGAGGGACAGCAAGAGAGAGAGAGAGAAAGTGAGCAGGCAAGTTGCCAGCCAGGTTTAGGCTTGAACTGCAGTCTGCCATGTGGGAGTGCAGCACCCTTAACCACCATGCCACTTGCTGGCCCCTACCCACAACTTTATCTTTGCTGCTGTATACTTTTTTTTGATAGGTGGGAATATAATAATTAATGAATAATGTATGTGTATATATAATCTATGTATGTATTATTTTATGTATTTTAATCTATGTATTTATGTATTTTTTCATGAGCAAGAGACAAAAGACACTGCTTTCCCCCCAACAGTATCTTGATGCCATGATCTACCCCCAGCTTTCAGCCAGCTCAACATGGGCAAGCACACATCTGCATATTCAGAGAGGTCTCTAGATTGGAACTGGCAATCTTCCCATGTGGGATCATTGTCTTTTACCTTTGTGACAGTTTGGGTCCAGTTTATATATTGTACCTATTAAATCTTTTCTGTGTTTGTTATTTAAGAGATATTTTTGCTATGGGATGTGTGTGCTCACCAGAGAAACAAAGGGACAGAAAGCAAGAAATCACCCCACGGAGCGGATGGCCACTCTGCAGTCCTTTCTCCTCCATTCGCCTCTTGGGATTTTGGGCACATATGCACACACGTACACATGCATGTGTGCCTGGTATGAGTTTTAAGCCACCAGGTCCAAGACTTGAAATATCTACTTCATGGAGCTCCAGCAATGTAACTATTATGCCACCTGCTGGTCCCCTTATTCAGTCCTTTATTTAAAAAAAAAATTAGTTTTTCTTTTAAAGAATTATTTTATTTAACTTTCTTTTTTCCTTTCCTTCCCCTTTTCTCCCTTCCTCCCTCCCTCCCTCCCTTCCATTCTATTTTTCTTTCTTTTTCTCTTTTTGTCTTTTTGCCTTGCCTTGCCTTGCCTTGCCCTGCCCTGCCCTGCCTTGCCTTGCCCTGCCTTTCCTTTTCTTTTTTCCAGAGATTTCCTTTCCTTTTCTTTTTTCCAGAGAGGGACAGAAAGAGAGAGAGAAAGTGAGAAAGGAAGCTGCCAGGTCTGGGACTCGAACTGTAGTGGGTCATGTGGGAGTCCAGTGCCCTTAACCACTATGCTACCTGTGGCCCCAACCCCCTATTTAGTCTTTAAAGAGTTTTTTGTTGTTGTTGTTGTTGTTTTTTTTTTTTTTTTTGTTACCAGGGCAATAACAAGTGAGAGAGAGAGAAAGCAACTTCCAGTGATGAAACCACAGTATGTTTTCCCTGTACCTAACCCCTGGTAACCACTAATCTTTCCTCTACTTCTAAACTTCAGTCATTTCAAAAATGTTTTATAAAGGAAATCATACAGTATGTAACCATTTGGGATTGGCGAATTTTTACTCAGTATAATTCCCTGAAGCTTCATCTAAGCTGTTTGTTTCTTTTGTTACTTATTTTTGTATATTTAAGATGGAGAACTCCTACAGAATTTAAAATTTGGTTTCTGCTTTCTTTCCTGCCAAATCTATTTTTCAAAAGGAAATATTTTTATCTTAACTCTAGGTGACAAAACACGACCACCTTCCTCAAGCCCCTCCAGTATTATACGGCGCACTTCCTCCCTGGACACACTTGCTGCTCCTTATCTTGCTGGGCACTGGCCTCGTGATAGTCATGGGCAAGCTGCACCTTGTATGAGGGACAAAGCTACACAGGTAGGTTTATTATAGTTCTTACCCAGAAGAGTTTTACTCTGAAGCCATTGGTGTTTAGATTCTTGAAACATTAGTTTATATTAGAATTACTAAAACAAAGATTTATCAAAAGTGCAGATTTCTAGGCCTGACCTCCAGAAAATATGTTGTAGGTTTGGCAGGCCAGAAATATGCATTTTAAACCATCTCATTTTTTTTAATTGTTAAGGGATATTTGTGCTTGCCAGAGAAAGAGAGAAAGAAAACAAGCATTAACCCCCCAATAGCATTTACCAAAATTGTATTAATTAAATATTTGTGTAGTTATTTGTTTTACCTTTCTTACACTCACAGTGAACCCCATGAAGGTAAGAACTGTGCCTAGCTTGTCTGTTGCTGTATTTCCATCCCCAGGACTTAACTCTGTGCCTGGAAGAATAAGTACTCAAGGAATATTTGCAAAGGAATGAGTGAGCAGAACAGTTACAGCTTTATTTGTTTGGGAAGGATGAAAAGCATTAGAAAATTTAAAAGATTCTCTATATTGATGAGAATTAGTTAAGGTATATCTTGAGCATTAGTTAAGGTATATCTTGATTTAGACTTTCAGATTTACATTACTGATTACTTACTTTATCCCGGCAGTTTTTGAGAGAATATCCTTTTGTAGAGTAAAACAAACCCACTTTTTTTTTTTTTTTTAATCATTTGCAATTAGCGTATAGAGTTACATATTTATGGGATACAGTGTGACTTTTTAAAATACATGCATAGAATGTATAATCATCAAATCAGGGTAGTAAATATTTTCGTCATCATCTAACATTTAGCATTATGCTGGAATCTGTCCATGTGGGCCAGCCTCTCAGAGCATCACACTCTCTGTTATAGTCCAGCCCAATATTTCTTCTTCTTTATAGTCAGCTACTGGAGAGTGATTATGTTCTTTTGGCAGACTTATGTTTCCTTGTTTTTTTTGAGGTTTTTTGTAGCCTTGCATTGATATCTGGGCATCCGGTAGAACAGTCACCTCTTTGAATTTTATGGAATATTTCCCATACTTTCTCAGGTTTTGATGTCTTCAGCAGTGTGATCTCTGTATATTTGCTTCAGTTGGAATCTGTGTCAGCAGTGTCTATGTGTGCCTTTGTGCAAGTGACTGTAGATGCAGTGGTGTGGCTTTGCTGTTGGTCAGAGCTACTGGAGATGGAATGGGGGGAGTCAGTCTTCTGATCCTGGGTGGGGGTATGCATGCAGAGGCCCTGCCAGTTGAAGAGCTGGCATCACCAGGAAGCATGACTTTAACAGGTACCAAGCATGGAGGTACTGATGAACTGGGTCAAGTGTGTAATAGGGCATGAAGGTCCTGTCACTTTGGGGTGTGAGGTTATAGCCAGTAGCAGCAGTATCACTTGGACTTCTATCTTGCGGTCTGTGAGAGGCATATACAGCTCTTAGGGGTCCTGATGATCAGGGAGCAGTGATGGGTGGTGTCAGCAAGAGCACCAGGAGCAGTGTTTTCAGACCGTGTGTGAGGCACTCACAACACGCATAGGTCTCACCAGCAGAGAGTGTAGGGTCATTTGTGGCATTGGTAGGGATGTGGGAAGGTGTCTGGTATTCCCCAGCTCTACGTGGTGCATGTGGAGCGCCCTCCATTGAGTTAGCTGGGAGGTTGCTAGGTCTGGCTGGTGTCCTCTGGCCAGGTGGGCAATGCTCACCAGAGCATGACTATAGGCCCCAGGGAAGGAGCATTCATGGTGAGGTAGCAGGAGCCTCTAGTGGAGTCTCTAGATGGGAAGGGTTGTGGAAGATCAGCGGTGGAGGTAGGGAGATCTGGATTTTTACTCCTTAGTGGGGTAGTGGAGTGATCTGATGCCATAATTTCTTACAGAGGGGGTGGAAAGTGATCTGGATTCCTTAGTTTCTGGGGAGCCAGTATTTAGAGGTCTCTGTCTCTGGGGGACACATGTATTATTTTCTCAGGTCACAAGGGCGTTCTACTCACAAAGCAATCCCTTCTCCTTGTTTCTGGAGTACATAGTGGTACATGGGCTTGGGTGCCAGTCACTGCTGCACCATGGACTTAGCTGCAGCCCTGGCTCTGCTGCGTTTTGAATGAGTGAGCTGGGACAATAGTGGGGCCTCAGACATGTAGAGAGAGGTGCAGGGTCTACTGACCTCCAAGGCAAGGTACACTTTTGCTGTGGCATTGCTTCCCAAACGGCATAGTGCTATGGGAACTTGAGTCTCTGGGAGGGGAGGAGGATCCAGCTTGTGTTCCTTTTCTGGGGTGCACTGCACTTGGACTCTGAGAAATTTCCTACTTTGTGTTCAGGATTTGTGGTAACTATATGGCCATCCTATAGCTAGGACTGCAGGCATCTGAGGTAGCAAATGGGGACAGTTGGGATATTTACTCTCCATACCTCCTGTTTGATCCCAGCCTGGTATTGCATCTCCATGCCGCAGCGGTTTTTTCATTACTTCCTTACTATATTCCAGGGTTCCTTCCTCACTCCTGTAATCAGGATGGGGCTATTTTTCCAATATTTTGGTCTTTATCAAGAGAAAGACCTAATTCATTTTCTGTTTTGATACTCTTAAAACTGAGTCCCAAAGGTGTTTGGGGTTTAAAATTACCTTGAGGTTTATACTCTAGTGGCAACTACAGGAAAAAATACAGAATATGTGCTCATCAAAAACAATGAATCTTCTGAAAATTTGACTTTTTTATCCAGAATCCTGTCGAACTGCAGTAATTAAAATCTGTAAGTTTGCAGAGTTTACAGGCAAATAGAATGGAAAATAAGCACAACTTACCTCTATTTGCTTTCTACTTAATCTGCATTTAAATTTGTATGGTTTTACTTCTTTTCTACATTTCTTCAACACTCTATGTTCCCTGCAATTTCAGGGTCAGTGGGCTCAAATATTTTGTTGTGTTAGTAGAGACGTGTACTATCTTACAAGCCATCGGGAACCCCTTGATCTGTGGAAGCAGTTCAGTAAGTGTTTCAGCAAGTTTCTATGACCTAGTTCTATGTCAAATTAAAACATAAACCCCATAGTCTCTTTACTCTTTTCTAAATGTCTCTCAAATTGGAAATATTAAGGGTACAAAGAAAACTTGCAATGATCATACAACCATACTGTTAATTTTGCTTTATAGCTCATATGAAGAATCGCCTAGGGAACCAGCAGTTAGCGTAATGGCTATGTCGCTGGACTCCCACATAGTCAACCGCGGGTCGCGTCCCGGACCTGGTGGCTTAGAACTCGCGCCGGGCGTGTATGCGTGCATTCCCAAGATCCGGAGAGGAGAATGGAGGAGAAGGGATTGTGGCGTGGCCATCCCCCCTGGGGGGTGATTTCTCACTTTCTGTCTCTATGTCTCTGTCTGTCTGGCGAATGCACGCGCCCTATAGCAAAAACCTCTCCAAAAAAAGAAAAAAGAATCGCCTAGAGAGTGTAATACATGTTAGTTGGGCATGCCAAACTTTCAGTTACGCTATGAGCCCCCCGTCTTTGGAAAATGAATTTAGCACTAACAAAATTAATCAAAAGTTCTCAAATTCCGGGACCGGCAGTTGGCATAATGGCTGTGTTGCTGGATTCCCATGTACTCGACTGCAGTTCGAGTTCCAGACCTGGTGGCTTAAACTCACGCCAGGCATGTGTGCATGGCATGCATGCCCAAGATCCTGATAAGAGAATGGAGGAGAAGGGATTATGGCATGGCCATACTCCTGGTGGTGGTGATTTCTCGCTTTTTATCTCTCTGGCGAGCACACACACCCTATAGCAAAAACCTCTCAAAAAAAAAAAAAAGTTCTCAAATTCCTTTTTGTTAGATATTGTTTCCCTAACTTATCTTTGCTGGTTAGTTAAGTCAGCTTCCTTTTTTATTTCTTTTTTGGAGAGGTTTTTTTTGTTTTGTTTTGTTTTGTTTTGTTTTGTTTTGTTTTGTTTTCTGCTATAGGGTATGTGCGCTTACCAGACAGAGAGAAAAAAAGAAAGTGAGAAATCACCCCCCAGGGGAGATGGCCATGCTACAATTCCTTCTCCGTTCTCCTCTTGGGATCTTGGGCATGCATGCAGACGTGCCCAGCATGAGTTTTAAGCTGCCAGGTCCGGGACTCGAACTGCGGTCGACTACATGGGAGTCCAGCAACATAGCCATTACGCTAACTGCTGGTCCCAGCTTCTTAAAATTTGTGTCAGAAAACTTGAACTGTTCAAATGATGACGATTCAACTTGTAATTGTGGTAAAATGTATATATTAACATAAAATTCGTCATTTTTACCATTTTAAAATACAACTGAGTGGCATTGATGACATTTACAATATTGTACAACTATTAGGTCATCAGGAAAGTCATGATGCATTTTTGCAAAGAAAAACACAGAAAATATGTCATGACTTTCTTGACAACCTAGTATCTATTATTTACAAAACTTCACCATCCCGGACAGAAAGCATAACTCCCCATACACCCTTTCTTTTAACCCCTGGTAACCACTGTTTTACTTTGTATTTCTATGAATTTGCCAGTGCTATATATTTCATGTAAGTGAAAGCATACAATACATGTCCTCCTGTGTCTGACTCATTTCACTTAGCATAATATTTTCAAGAGAAAGTTCATCCGTGTTTTAGCGTGTCAGAACTTCATTTCTTTTGATGGTTGGCTAATATTTTGTTGTATGGATGTACCACATTTTGTTTATCCGTTCATCTGTTGATGGATACATTTGTTTCCTCTTTTCAAAGGCTGTTGTGAACACTGCTGCAGTGGACAAACCTCGGATTGATTTCTTCTACTTCTTTCTTTTCTTTCTTTTTTTTTTGAGAGATTTTTTGCTATAGGGCATGTGCACTCGCCAGAAAGACAGAGAGACAGAGAGATAGAAAGCGAGAAATCACCCCCCAGGGGGGATGGCCGCGCCACAATCCCTTCTCCTCCATTCTCCTCTCAGGGTCTTGGGCATGCATGCATACGCGCCCGGCGTGAGTTTA